TGACTGATGAGGCACCAGTGACTGGCAAATTGCTAGTGACCACTGGTGAGATGCCAGTGACTGGTGAGGTGGTACTGACCGGTGAGGCAGTAGTGACTGGTGAGGTGCTAGTGACCCCTGTGGCACTAGTGACTGGTGAGGTGCTAGTGACCACTGTGGCACTAGTGACCAGTGAGGTGCCAGTGACCAGTGAGGTGGTAGTGACTGGTGAGGAGCTAGTGACCTCTGTGGCACGAGTGACTGGTGAGGTGGTAGTGTCTGGGGAGGTGCTAGTGACCACTGTAGTGACCGCTGGTGAGATGTTAGTGACTGGTGAGGTGGCACTGACTGGTGAGGCAGTAGTGACTGATGAGATGCTAGTGACCACTGTGGCGCTAGTGACTGGCGAGGTGATAGTGACTGGCGAGGCTCTAGTGATTGTTGTGTTGCGAGTGACCAATGTGAATGCACCAATGACTGGAGAGGCACCAGTGACTGCCGAGGTGGTAGTGACCAGTGAGACATCAGTGACCAGCAAGGTGCCAGTGACCGGCAAGGTGCGAGAGACCAGTGAGGCACCTGTGACTGGTGATGTGCTAGTGACCACAGTGGTGCTAGTGACCGGCAAGGTGCCAGTGACTGGTGAGGCGGTAGTGGCTGGTGAGGTGCCAGTGACCACTGTGGCTCTAGTGACCGGTGAGGTGCCAGTCACTAATGAGGTGCCAGTGACCAGCGAGGCACCAGTGACCGGCGAGGTCACATGAGGGGTGACAGCTGTGCTTGGAATGGCTGAAGTGACTTCTGCCCCAGGACTGGTGGCCATTGACAATGTGGTATCTGACTCCGCAGGAGAGGAACTCCACGTTGGCCTGGAGGCCGGGGTGCTGGGCTCTGCAGCTAGGGTGACCCCTGTGACCGTCGTATACGGCTCCGCTGTGGACACAGTCGGAGCCGAAACAGAGGCGCTAACTTCCGCTCCAGAAGTGACTCCCGAGGCCGTGGTCTCCGGTTCATGTGACAAGTGGGTGCTGTCCTCTGCCCTCGAACTGGTGGGCCAGGAGGCGCCCAGTCCTCGCACAGTGGAGGACGCTGCAGGGGCGGGAGCGGGTGAGCTGGGCTGGCGCCCGGGACGCGTGGCCAGCAAAGCAGTGGTGGCCAGTTTCCCGGGAGCAAGAGTCCAAGGTGTCACAGCCGTGCCGACAGCGGCCTCAGACCCAGTGACCGGTGGGGTGGCCATGCCTGGCGGGACGGCGGGCACAGTCAGAGAAGGCGCAGCGGAGCTGGCTTCTGCCCCCAGACTGGCGCCCGGCGAGGGGGTGCCGCCTGACTCCCCAAGGGCAGCACTGGGGGCTGTCCCAGGCACGGCCGGGCTGGCCACCGCCGGGCGCGTGGCCCATGCAGCTGTTGTGTCTGGCCCACCCGAGGCGACAGCCCAAGTCGGGGCTCTGTGACTGACCTCTGTCCCTGCTCGGGCCACCCCGGGGGCTGTCGGCTCTGGTCTGTGTGAGGACGAGGTCAGAGTCGGGAAGGGCGAGGGGGTCTCTGCGCCGGGAGGGGTGGTGGCTGGGCCGCCCGCCCCTGGCCCGGCGGGGGAGCCAGCGAGGGTGGGGGTGGCCGTGCTGGGCAGAGCCCCCGAGGGGGTGAGCCCCGCGGCCGTGGCTGCCAGCTGGCCAGTA